TGGTATAATACATAGAGTTAGATGAATGATATGTCAAAGAATAGTCTTAATTACTGTAATTATTATCTTTGCAGTCAGGGCTTGCAGAAAAGCATAGAATTTGCCATATCTGAGGATTAAATATTACTTAAGTATTTAACAGATTCAAACCAAATTTCAGCTCACAATCTTAGTATAAAATACATCACTTCTAGAGTCTTTAGAGATGCAATTATATAATGGATTAAATTACAAATGAATATAATATAGATCTATTCCCCTTAGGGTCTAATGCCAACAGTGTTATTCAAAAGTAATTTTATTAAAGGTTTATTTTATGCTATGTTATAAATACCTGAAATTATTTACATTTTTCTCTGTGGCATTTACTTTCAAATATACTTTCTTTATCTTAGTATGATTTTTCAGATATATGGGTTTCTCCCAGAACTGTGAAATTCCTGCTATGGGAATTCCTGTCTCTAAACTTGGTGTCTAATCACCACTTAATGGATGAGTGAATAAAGGGATGAATAAATTTATTTTAAGAGTTGATTTTGGAAAAATGGCAAACTGCGACTCATCTCAGTACTTTTTGTGGAAATATACAGTTTAATAAAAAGTAGTTTGGATCTCTTCAAATGTTTTCTCTGGTGTTAAAACAATACAAGATACAGCATCATTAAACAATGCTGTTTATTCCAGGAAATAAGTCTTGATGCATCTTTAATATACAAAGGATTTAACTCATGCCATTAATTTTCTGGTTTCAGGCTATGTGACCCTTTTCTTAACTAGATGAAGAATTTATTTTGCCTGCAGGCAAAGAGTAATAATTTGTTGGTAGGGCTTCAAGTCTGCATTATCATGAAATTTTCTATAAAGTATAAAAGACAGAAGTAAATCACAGAGATCTAGTGCTTATCATTGACTGACAAAAGCTGTGATAATTAAAGAACTGAGTGCGGCATAGAAGTAGGAAGATAAATGGGGCAGAGGGGTTGGCACAAAGTATGACAGACCCGAGGAAGGCGATCTGACTTGGGAAGCCCAATCTTAAAGGCTGAAGGAGGGCAGGGGTGAGGGAAGAGCTAGGAAGTGACAGCACTAGGGTAGAAATAAGGCCTATGAAAATGGATTTTGGGGCCATAACATATAAGGATCAGGGATTTAAATAGGCAGGGCACTGTGACTGATGGCCTGATTGATTCATTGATCAACCAGTACAAGTTCATGTCCTGAAGAAGTGCAGGGTCTTCTGAAATAAGGCAGGTAAATAGATAAAGAGGTCCAATCTGAGCCATGCCCATGAGGGTAAGTTTTCAGGGGTCATAAGGAGATGGGGCTGTGGGTCAAAGGAGGTAGGGGAGGCAGACAGGTACAACAGCACTGCGTTATATGGCTGGAGGGGGCTCACTGGTCAGATTTGTTTATTAGGAGGAGCTTGTACCAGTGTTGATGATGAACAACAGGGGAGGCAGCCTTGTTAAGAGGCTGCTGACACAGTTCAAACAAGAGATGGTGGAAGCCTGAATTAATGCAACAGGAATGGAAATGTGAAAAAGGGGTGAAGTTCAAGAGACTTTACATTTCCAAAAGGATCAGGGGTAGGAGTGAGGAATGAGGGTGAAGGAGAAGTCATGTGTAGTTTAGGTTTCCAGTATGGGAAGCTGACGTGGAAGAGAAGAGAGAGTCTGGGAGAGAAGATAGTTTGTTTTTTGATATGTTACAATTGAGGAGACGATGGGATGCCCAGGCAGGGATGAGTAATATGTGGACAGATGAGAATATAGATCTGAAGCCCAGGAGGTGCCTGGGAAGGAGAGGTAGGTCTGGATTAAGAAGTCTTTAAAAAGGTTGCTGGTGGGTGGGCAATGGGATTCTTTTAGAAGACCTTGGAAGAGAGTGCAGCATCAATAGAAGTGAGGCAGAGGAAGAGGAGGTGCTCAAGAGTCTGGTGTGGATTAGTCAGAGAGGAAGAAGAGAAACAGGGAAAACATGTGGAGGAAGCAAGGAGGAGAGAGGTTCTAGAAGATAATGGGCCAGGGAGTAAATGCTGCATAAGGTTCAAGAAGAATCAGGACCAAAAAAAGCAATTCCTTTGGCAACTCATGGAGAGGGATTTACTTTTCCAGACTTCTCCTACACCCTCATTCTTCACTCCTAGTCCCCTTCCTGTTGGGAATGTAAAGCCTCTAGAACTTGGTCCTTTTCTACATTCCCATTCCCATCGCATTAATTCAGGCTTCCATCATCTCTTGCTTGAACTGTGTCAGCAGCCTCTTAACAAGGCTGCCTCTCCTTTCTGTTAATCATCAACACTGTGGCTACAAGCTCCTCCTAATAAACAAATCTGACCAGTGAGCCCCCTCCAGCCACATAATGCAGTGCTATTGTATCTGTCTGCTGTTCCCTCTACTGGCAATATCCCCTACCTCCTTTGACCCACAGACCCATCCACAGATTGGAATGAGTGAAGAGTCAGTGGGAGCTGAGGAAGTGGACAGGGCCAGCAAGAGTAGATTTTTTGAAGACATTCTTGGTAGTAAATGGCAGGAGTGAAATTGGGCAGTTTATTAAAAGGGTGTGTAGTGTATGATAATTTTTTTTAAATAGAGAAACCTAAGTATCTTTGTAGAGCAAGAGAAAGGAGTAGAAAAGGAAATGAAAGTGAAAAGATCTGTAGATATTTGTGTTCTAGTGGTCAGAGTACATATCAGAAATGGTAGGATATATAGAATTCTTGTCATACACACTAGGAAATGCTTCAGTCATGTACTTAGAGCAAATTTAATCAGTAGACACATCCCTGTAAATGCCAATGTCACACTTTTCAATACTAGGCATATAAAGTAGGATCATACTATTTTATCTGTTTTAATGGCAGAAGGTTAGACCAGTTAGCTTTTGAGGTCACTTCTAATCCTAATAGTGTGTGCTTTGATTCTTTTTTTTTTTTTAATTTGTCTTGAGACAGGGTCTCACTCTGTCACCCAGGCTGGAGTGCACAGCTGCAATCACAGCTCATTGCACCCTTGACCTCCTGGGCTCAAGATCCTCTCATCTCAACTCCCAGTAGCTGGGACTGCAGGTGCATACCACCCTGCCTGGCTAATTTTAAAAATTATTTGTAGAGATGAGGTCTTGCCATGTTGCCAGACTGGTCTCAAACTCCTGGGCTCAAGCGATTCTCCCACCTTGGCTTCTCGAACTGTTGGGTTACAGACGTATGCCACCATGCCCAGTCTGATTCTTTTTATTGTTTTCACAACTATTTTACCAAACCAGTTCTTGGTTAAATGCTCAGCTAGACTATCCCAGCTTTCTTCTTATTACCTACCCTTCCTAGAATATTATTATTCCCCAATCTGTACCAACTTCTGTGACAAGTTGCGTATCAACCCTTTTGATCATATTCTCTTTATTCCTACAGATACAGCCACTGTATCAAGCGAGATAACCCAGTTAACGCCTTCATATTTCTCTATCAGCTCACTTCATTCTTTTTATTTTTTTGAGACAGAGTTTCACTCTTGTCGCCCAGGCTGGAGTGCAATGGCACCATCTTGGCTCACTGCAACCTCCGCCTCCCAGGTTCAAATGATTCTCCTGCCTCAGCCTCCCAAGTAGCTGGGTTTACAGGTGTGTACTACCACTCCCGGCTAATTTTTGTATTTTTAGTAGAGATGGGGGTTTCACCATGTTGGCCAGGCTGATTTCGAACTCCTGACCTCAAGTGATCTGCCCGCCTCAGCCTCCAAAATGCTGGGATTAAAGGTGTGAGCCACTGTGCCCAGCCTCATTTGATTCTTTTACACATCTGTTGATATTGTAGTACTGTTGTGTGCTCCTCTCAGATAATCTGTAGCATTGATCTCAACAAGGACTTTAAAAAAATTAATAGATCACTTTAATCTTTTTCACTGGAAAAATTAAAGATATAAAATTTAAAATATAATAAAAGAGAAAAATATAAAAGTTTAAATATTTTGTATTGGTTGACAGTACTAATGGGAATATAAATGAATATGGAAATTCTGGAGGGCAGTTTGTCTACATCTATCAAGTTTTTAAAAAAATTATTATACTTTATGTTTTGGGATACATGTGCCGAATGTGCAGTTTTGTTACGTGGGTATACACATGCCATGGTGATTTGCTGTACCCATCAACCCGTCACCTACATTACATATTTCTCCTAATGCTATCCCTCACGCTCATCATCACTGGTCATTAGAGAAATGCAAATCAAAACCACAATGAGATACCATCTCATGCCAGTTAGAATGGTGATCATCAAAAAGTCAGGAAACAATAGATGCTGGAGAGGATGTGGAAAAATAGGAATACTGTTGGTGGGAGTGTAAATTAGTTCAACCATTGTGGAAGACAGTGTGGCGATTCTTCAAGGATCTAGAACTAGAAATACTATTTGACCAAGCAATCCCATTACTGGAAATTTACCCAAAGGATTATAAATCATTCTACTATAAAGACACATGCACACATATGTTTATTGCAGCACTATTCACAATAGCAAAGACTTGGAACCAACCCATATGTCTATCAATGATAGACTGGATTAAGAAAATGTGGCACATATCTACCATGGAATACTATGCAACCATAAAAAACGAGGACTTTTTTGAAGAGAACCCCTATTTTGAATAAAGTTCAGTAAAGCAAAATGTGTCCTCAAGTATTGTCCCTTCAACTTGGAAGGGAATGTTTTGTTTTACTCTGAGTTGTCCTAAAACATGTTACTTTGGAACTTGCTGGATTAACTGATGTGGAAATTGTTCCAGGAAAGGATATCTGGGAAACTAAGGGTGCTTCTATTGCTGACTTATTCTATTGCTGACTTAGTATTTCAAATACTTTGGTGTTGGTCAAATACATTTACATTTTAATAAGATATTAGTGCTGGTAAGGAAAATATTCTCTAATATCTGCATGTACCAGTGGTCTGGATAATACAGATAATACAGATTTTGGGATAGTAAAATATTTAGAATTCTTACCACATAGATCAGGAACTGCCATCCGATGAAGTAATACTGCACTGTTCTTGCTGAGATTGCCTGAGTTATATTTGGAGCAAAGTTCACCAGTAAATATGTTCCTGCAAATGCCAGTGTCATACCTTTAAATAAAATTGAAAAGAAAAACCAAATTGAAACCAACCTAAAGCTTTTTGTTGACACAGACATTGCCTAGAGACTGAGCATTACTTGTAAAAGTGCCAGTCGCCCCTCCCTATTATACTCCGTTTCATCAAATCATCCCTGGATATCTTTCACATTCACCTGAAGGCATTCCCTTTACAGGGGAATAGAGCTGGAAGATGGATGGGGTAGGACATAACTTCCAATTTTTCTCTGTTGTTCTGGATGACTCCCGGCCTCTTCAGGGAAGCTTTCCCCAGTGATCGGGAAGATCAGAATATGTGCTATGAAGATGTGAAAACACATCCTAAGCTGACCGTTTCCTCATGGGCCAGTAAGTGCATGATAGATCTAGACAGTCTAGATCTGTCTAGATCTAGATGGCACAGTCCAGAGGACAGGGAAACCCATCACATGATGATCTGCTCTACACTCACTCATCCCTGGAGCCTTCAACACACTCAGGTGATTTAATAATTTCAAACTCTGGTAATGAGCATCTTTAATCACTGCCATTTATTGGATTCCTTTTAGCAGCAATAACGAAGGTGAACGCTGGCTTTGCCATAGGAGTTTAATTAATCCAGTCTAGAATATAGAATTCCAAGGTTAGCTTAATAAAATAAAATAAAATAGAAACCACGTCATAAACCTATGTAAGGAGTGTGTTACTGCCATTGGTTTAGCATTACTTAAAATGACAGAAGGGAATGTGTGTAGGGGGGTTAGGGGGTGAGGCCACCGAAGAAGGGGTGAAGGGAGGACTTGCCCTTCCAAATAATGTTGAAAAGTGCTTATTTATATATAATTAGCAGTCTGAAAAAAACCCTGATATAAGTAGCATATTTTAGATAGCACACTTGAAAACATAATTCAACTTGTTTCATCTCTGAGGTCAATGCTATTGTGAATATAATTTATAATCAACATTGACTCCAACCTGAAACAATTTGGTTTGTCTACAAAGTCTCACAATTTGAAGGCACCAATTTCCTGTTCCTCTTATGCAAATGACTTAGGTTTTGAACTCTAGTTCCTGGAAACAAATAGCATTTGATTTTTCGCAAAAGCTAGACAATTCAGGGTATTGTAGAAGCTACAAGGGTATTCAGGGTATTGTAGAAGCTACAGGGAAGTTTCCTCTAATGTAATGATTTATTCTGTAATACTTTGTGAAGACAGATTATATGCAATCTTTAAAGCTATTTTGAATGAGAACTTTAGAAACAAAGAACAATATACATTATTAAACACTGTAATAAAAGCAAATGATAAAACCATATATAAGAACTTGGGAGAAAATTATTTGTCAGTCATGTCTTTTCTTTGGAAAAAAATTACATAATTGTTCAAAAGTAGGTCCCTAGAAGGAAGAGATTTAAAAAAAACTGTTTTCTAAACTTGGTATGATAAAGTAGCATAAATCCATTTAATCTACTTTAAAATGTCTCAGATACTTCTGTTTCTTTTGTGAAATCCAAATTTCTAGTTATATCAATTCCTCCATCAGATACTTCTTTATCTCTACTAATAATATCTAGTTTCTATTAACTTTCTTGTATTTAAATTTAGTTTTGAGTAGGCAACACATGTATATGGCAAAATTCCAACAATACACAAGGCGGACTGGTGAAAAGTTAAATCTCATACACCCTGATGGTTCACTAGTTTTCCTCCTCAAAGTCGCTACCACCACTAGTTTCTGGGGTTTTCTTTTCAGAGATGTTTTATGCATGTGTGTGTAAGTGTGCATGAGGTTTTCTTTTTACATAAATAATTGCGTATTATATAAGCTTTTCTGTATCTTGCTTTTTTTTTTTCCTACTTAGAACATTTTGGAGGACACTTCACATCAGTATATGCAGAGTGGCTTCATTCTTTTTAAGTCTACTGGTATTTCTATCTCACAGAGGTAGTATTGTTTACTGAATAACTTTCCAATATTGTCCCTGTTTCACATCCTGACATATCCCTTCCTACTTCACATCCACGTCTGCATTTGCCTTCCATGACTGTTCCTATCAATGTATATCTTCATTGCATTTCTTTTAAAAAATTTTTAATTTTTGTGGGTACATAGGAGGTGTATATATTTATGGGGTATATTTCATTGCATTTCAAAACTTTTAAAAAATATAAAATGGCTGATGCTTTTACAGTTATTCATTCCTTCCTTCCTTCCTTCCTTCCTTCCTTCCTTCCTTCCTTCCTTCCTTCCTTCTTTCCTTCTCTCTTTCTTTCTTTTTTTTTTTTTGAAACAGAGTCTTGCTATGTTGCCCAGGATGGAGTGCAGTGGTGTGATCTCAGCTTACTGCAACCTCTGTCTCCTGGGTTCAAGTGATTCTCCTAGCTCAGCCTCCCGAGTAGCTGGGACTATAAGCACGTGCCACCACGCCCAGCTGATTTTTGTATTTTTAGTAGAGACGGGGATTCACCATGGTGGCCTGGGTGGTCTCGAACTCTTGACCCCAGGTGATCTGATCGCCTCCGCCTCCCAAAGTTCTGGGATTACAGGGGTGAGCCACTATGCCCAGCTGCAATTGTACTTTCTAAGTCCCTTTCACATATATTATTTCTTTTGGGCCTTACGTCACTGTGTATCTGCTAAGTAACTTTATGGCAGTTCAGCAGGTCACACATTTTTTCTTCTTAATAATTTTTATTTCAGCTATCTGCAATAATTACAAAGGCAGTTATGGATAGCTGCCACCAGTTGTATGCTGGTTTATTTGGCATCATTTATATTTATGTGCTTTACTGTCCCCTTTATGAGTTATATGCACATTTTTCGTGTTAGTCATTTGCACTTCCTTAAATAAATTCCTTTTAAATTTATTTATATTCTACCTTTTTCTAAAAGTGATATGAGATATCAGTTCCTGTTATTTTTATTTCAGTAAAGCTACATGTATTCCTTCTTTTGAAAGACACAGATTTCTGACTTAGGAAACTTGTTAGTTTACCTTCTGCTGGCCCGTTTGCCGAAAGGAGTAATCTGGACATGTAAGATCCTCTGAAAGGTCTGCTGCCAGAAGTCTCAGAGCTTTCTTGTATGTTATTTGTTTCTTTTCTCTTGCTGCTTTTAGGATTCTTTATCCTTGACCTTTGGGAGTGTGATGATTAAATGCCTTGGGGTAGTCTTCTTTGGGTTAAATCTGCTCAGTGTTCTATAACCTTCTTGTATATGAATATTGATGTCTTTCTCTAGGTTTGAGAAGTTCTCTATTATTATCCCTTTGTATAAACTTTCTAATCCTCTCTTCCTCTACCTCCTCTTTAAGGCCAATAAGTCTTAGATTTGTTCTTTTGAGGCTGTTTTCTAGATCTTGTTCCGTTCCTTTTTATTCTTTTTTTTTTTTTTTTTGTCTCCTCTGACTGTATTTTCAAATAGCCTGTTTTCAAGCTCACTAATTCTTCTCCTCGATCATTTCTGCTGTTAAGAGACTGATGCATTCTTTGGTATGTCAGTTGCATTTTTCAACTCCAGAATATCTGCTTGATTCTTTTGAATTTTAAAAATTTCTTTGTTAAATTTATCTGATAGGATTCTGAATTCCTTGTCTGCGTTATCTTGAATTTATTTGAATTTCCTCAAAACAGCTATTTGAATTCTCTGTCTGAAAGATTACATAACCCTGCCTCTCCAGGATTGGCCCCTAGTGCCTTATTTAGTTTGTTTGGTGAGGTCATGTTTTCCTGAATGGTCTTGATGCTTGTGAATGTTTGTCAGTGTCTGGGCATTGAGGAGTTAGATATTTATTGTAGTCTTTGCAGTCAGGGCTTGTCTGTACCCTCCTTCTTTGGAAGGCTTTTTGGGTATTTTAATGAACTTGGGTGTTGTGATCTAAGTTTTTGGTCACTGTGGCCATATCTACATTAGGGGGCACTCCAAGCCCAGTAATGTTGTAGTTCTTGCATATTTGTAGAGGTACCATATTGGTGGTCTTGCATAAGATCTGGATGAATTATCTGGATTAACAGGAGGAGACTCTTGTTCTCTTCTCTTACTTTCTCCCAAATAATCTCTCTCTCTCTCTGTATGTGTGTGTGTGTGTGTATGTGTGTGTGTGTGTGTGTGTGTGTCCTGAACTGCCTGGAGCTGGGAGCGAGGGGTGGAATGACATAAGCACCCCTGCGGCCACTCCCACTGGGACTGCACTAGGTCAGACCTGAAGCCAGCACAGCACTGGATCTTGCTCAAGGCCTGCTCTATCCACTGCCTGGCTACCACCTATGTTCACTCAAGGCCCTAGGGCTCTACAATCAGCAGGTGGCAAAGTCAGCCAGGCTTGTATCCTTCCCTTCAGGGTGACAAGTTCCCCTAGGCCCCGGGTGGGTCTGGAGATGCTGTCCAGGAGCCAGGCCTGGAGTCAGAAACCTTAGAAATTTACCTGGTGTTCTATTCTACTGCAGCTAGGTCAACACCAAAACCACAAGACAAAGTCCTTTCTGCTTGTCCCTCCCCTTTCCCCAGGAAGAGGAGTCTGTCCTCTGTCCACCACCCTCAGGTACTGCCAGGGTACTGCCAATAGTCACATAAGGCCCAGAGGCTCTTCAGTCAGCTTATGGTGAATGCTGCCAGGCCTGGCACTACCCTTCAGGGAAGTGGGCTCTCCTGTGGTTCAGGGTAGGTCTAGAAATGCCATCCAAGAGCCAAGACCTGGAATCAGGGACCCCAAGAACCCTCTTGGTACCCTACCCCGCTGCGGCCAAGCTGGTACTTAAGCTGCAAGACAAAATCCTTTTTATTTGTTCATCTCCTTTTCTTAAGCAGAAGGAGTCCTTCCCCACAGCCACCACAGCTGTGACTATGCTGGGCCACACCTGAAACTAATACATCTCTGAGTCTCACCCAAGGCTCATGGTGAGTACTGTCTGGCTGCCGCTGCTGATTATTCAGGGCCCAAATACTCTTTAGTCAGCAGGTGATGAATCCTGAAGGACTAGGTCCTTCCCTTCAAGGCAGTGGCTTCTTTTC